TTGCCTGTGTGCAGCCTGAAGTCTATTTAATATTGTAAATAATAAAATTAACAATTAAGGTAAAAGACAAAAAGTATATACTTTATTTATTTACTAGTGGCCTGGTGCATGAATTTGGGCACATTGAAAGGAAATTAATTAGAAGAAATATTTTAATATTGGGCTCCCTCCTCTCTGGTTCTGGGGTGCGTCACCCAAGAACCGTCACCGCTAAGTCACTGTAGCTCGGCAGCTCCTGCCCCTTGGTGGTCAGTGCATGTCATATGTACCGGCTGGTTGGATGATAAGATGGTCACTTAGCCTTTTACATATATAGACTAGAGGCCCGGTGCACGAATTCGTGCACAGGTGGGGTCTGGCTGGCCTGCCCTGATTGAGGCCCTGATCAGGGTGGGTGGGGGCCAATTTTGGGTGGGGCCGGCTGTGGGGAGGGGCTGCGGGCGGTTGGCTGGCTGGCCCAAACTCCTGGTTGAACTCCAGGTCAGGGGGACAGTTTTCATAGCAGCCTTTTATTATATAGGACTAGAGGCCCGGTGCACGAAATTCACGCACTGATAGAGTCCCTAGCGGCTGCCAGCTGCTGGCCAGGTACTCCCTCCCTTCCCCCGGCCAGCTCTGCCCCCTGGTCGAACTCCCAGACGAATGCCCGGTTGAGGGGACAATTTGCATACTATGCATTTATTATATAGGATAGATTTTTAAAAATGCATTTTAACTGATTTCAGAGAGGAAGGGAGAGAGAGAGAGAGAGAGAGAGAAACATCAATGATGAGAGAGAATTATTGATGGGCTGCCTCCTGCACGCCCCCTACTGGGGATCGAGCCCACAACCTGGGCATGTGTCCTGCCTGAGGATGGAACAGTGACCTGGTTCATAGGTCGATGCTCATCCATGAGCCATGCCCGCTGGGATTTAAACATTCATAGAGGGCGTCAATGTCTCCGCACTGTGGGAGGCAGACCTGGGCTCTGCCCTGGTGAACAAACAAACCAGGTAACAACAAAGCAATGAGTTGCCCAGAGGACAGCTGTGGTCTGGTGGAGGGTGGGGCTACCCCCGGCCCCCAGTCCAGGGAGGAAGCCTGGTTTATGGGAGTCTGGGTATTAATGGGGGGCGATGACTGCTACTTCGGGAACCAGGAGGGGCTATTTCTAACGTTGTAAATGACCGTTTGCCTAGGACCCCGTTTTCTCACACAAACGGTCTGCTGATGGGCCCCACCCTCTGGCTGCGAGGCTGCGTCCTTTAGGGTCTTCCCTCCAATGGGCAGGCGCACTCCGTGTGGGTGCTGGGTCAGGGCTGGGAGCCCCCCAATCCCTCTGCCGTCCTCGGTCACAGCGGGGAGGAGTGAGGCCCACAGAGGAGGGGCTCTGATGTGCCGGCAGAGCTGCCTGATGCCCTGGCGCCAACAGAGCCGACACCCACGGTGCCTGTTCATGGGCCTGGCACCTGCCAGCTCGGGCACGGCTGCCGGCTCACTCATTCCACGCAGGGAAACCGGCTGCAAGGGATGGACATTCTAGGCCCGGCCTGCTAGCACCGTCCGTGATTATTTCCTCCCTCAGACGCTGTTTTCCTCCACTCGGCAGGCCTGACGTCAGGGGAGGCCGGGGTGGTGGCTCTCCTCCCCGGGAACTTCTCCGACGGCCTCGGCCCACTGCGGGTTCCGTGGGGAGGTGACAGCACCCTGGGGCTGAGCCTGAGAGGTGGCCCGGGCAGGGGCTGGCAGCACGGAAAGCAGGACAGTCCCAGGCAAATCAGGACGGTTGGTTCCCCGGGAGCCCTGGGGCTGCGACTCCTCCAAACGCCTCTGAGACCCGCCTGGTCGTCTCTGGGTGGCCACACAGGCTGCCCCCCGCCCAGGACATGCTGCGGCTTCTCCCAGCCCTTGCTTGTCAAGGTCAACCTCGTTAAGTGCACGGATGCCCAGGGGTTCGGCCTAAACACGGAGCCTGCTTGACCCCGTGCGTCTAGGGAGGGGACGGGTTATGGGAGTCTGTGTTTATGGGGGTGAGGACTGCTGCTTCAGGAACCAGGAGGGGCTATTTCTAAATGTGCGCTAAAAGGCCTTGCTGATTTAAGAAGTGAGTGTTAATGAGCCCCCTCCCAGCCACCACCCGTCCCTGCCCCTTCCCCAGGAGATCCCCGGCTGCTCTAGGCATCAGGTCATGATTCAGCTTCCCAGCAAATGCTTTGGAGCCACTGGGTGGAAAAACAACTTCGAATGAATGAATCGAGTTGGAAACCACATAAAACTCATCTCTGGGTGGAAGGCGCCCCGGCATGGCCTCGCAGGAGGGGCAGGCAGTGCACGCATCGGCTCCACGGCCTCGTTGGGGGGCCTGGCTTCGCCTGGGGGCTCCCCTTTGCCTGCAGACACGTGTGTGTGTGTGTGTGTGTGTGTGTGTGTGTGTGCGCGCGCGCTCATGGAAGCCCTCGCTAGAGAGACG